GTTGACTAGCTCGTTGATCAATAGATGGTTACGGTTTCCTGACCATGGACATTGGATGTTGTTGATAACGAGATCACATCATTAGGAGAATGATGTGATGGACAAGACCCAATCCTAAGCATAGCACTAGATCGTGTAGTTCGTATGCTAAAGCTTTTCTAATGTCAAGTATCATTTCCTTAGACCATGAGATTGTGCAACTCCCGGATACCGTAGGAGTGCTTTGGGTGTGCCAAACGTCACAACGTAACTGGGTGGCTATAAAGGTACACTACGGGTATCTCCGAAAGTGTCTGTTGGGTTGGCACGAATTGAGACTGGGATTCGTCACTCCGTGTGACGGAGAGGTGTCTCTCGGCCCACTCGGTAGGACATCATCATAATGTGCACAATGTGATCAAGGAGTTGATCACAGGATGATGTGTTACGGAATGAGTAAAGAGACTTGCCGGTAACGAGATTGAACAAGGTATCGGGATACCGACGATCGAATCTCGGGCAAGTATCGTACCGATAGACAAAGGGAATTGTATACGGGATTGATTAAGTCCTTGACATCGTGGTTCATCCGATGAGATCATCGTGTAACATGTAGGAGCCAACATGGGTATCCAGATCCCGCTGTTGGTTATTAACCGGAGAACGTCTCGGTCATGTCTGCATGGTTCCCGAACCCGTAGGGTCTACACACTTAAGGTTCGATGACGCTAGGGTTATAAAGGAAGTTTGTATGTGGTTACCGAATGTTGTTCGGAGTCCCGGATGAGATCCCGGACGTCACGAGGAGTTCCGGAATGGTTCGGAGGTAAAGATTTATATATGAGAAGTCCTGTTTTGGTCACCAGAAAGGTTTCGGGGTTTATCGGTAATGTACCGGGACCACCGGGAGGGTCCCGGGGGTCCATCAAGTGGGGCCACCAACCCCGGAGGCTTGCGTGGGCTAAGTGTGGGAGGGGACCAGCCCCAGGTGGGCTGGTGCGCCCCCCCACAAGGGCCCAAGGCACCTAAGAGGTGGAAAGGGGGCAAACCCTAAGGGGGTATGGGCCTTAGGGCCCATCTTGGTGCGCCTCCCTCTCCCCTCCCCTCTTGGCCGCCTCCCCTTTCGCATCTAGGGCTGCCGCCCCCCTAGGGGTGGGAACCCTAGAGGGGGCGCACCCTCCTCCCTCTCCCCTATATATAGTGAGGCCTAGGGGCTGCCCATGACACGTGATTAGATCTCTCTCATTGGTGCAGCCCTCCCTCTCTTTCTCCTCATATCCCGCGGTGCTTGGCGAAGCCCTGCAGGATAGCCAGGCTCCTCCATCACCACCACGCCGTTGTGCTGCTGCTGGATGGAGACTTCCTCAACCTCTCCCTCTCTCCTTGCTGGATCAAGGCATGGGAGACGTCATCGGGCTGTACGTGTGTTGAACGCGGAGGTGCCATCCGTTCGGCACTAGGATCTCTGGTGATTTGGATCACGACGAGTACGACTCCTTCAACCCTGTTCACTTGAACGCTTCCGCTTAGCGATCTACAAGGGTATGTAGATGCACTCTCCTTCCCCTCGTTGCTGGTTTCTCCATAGATAGATCTTGGTGATACGTAGGAAAATTTTGAATTTCTGCTACGTTCCCCAACAACTGTATCTGCCAAGAAAATGCAGCCACCAAAAGAAAATCAAAACAATTATGTATGGATGTACACAGGGGCGTAGCCAGGAAAAAAGTCATCGGTGTCAACACGAACAAGTAGCACTAATATGTATCCCCTAAAAAAGCAGCAATAATATATGGCTAAAAATGCTTAACTCGTATTAACTAACATGTCTAAAATGTTTTTACTAACCTCACACAAATACGAAATCATGGTTGCCAATATATCACAACAAAATAAGCTCTGATTACGAAAGTAGTTACCTCTCTATATTTTCCCTCTACGATCTTTCATCTTCAAAAAGTAATCTATTGCATCCTTACATGGAGATGAATATAGTAGTCTTTGCTCCAAGAAGCACATGATATAGTGGTTCATGAAATCATCACTAATGTGATTATGTTGAGCATTCTTCACTATTTTCATTCTAGAGAAACACATTTCCTCTGATGCAGTGGCGACGGGAGCACTAACACTAGCTTCAGGAGCTGATAGACCAAAGGAAATGCAAGGTGCTTATTTGTACTAACCAATAGAATTTGTATTTAAATCATTAGCTCACCTCCTCCCCAATACGACATGATGTAACAACTCCTCCATGTGTCATTTCTACCTCCTGCTTCCTTTGGTCAGGAAACTGATGCAAAGGCTATCTTAATTGTCATCACCTAAAGAAGTCCAAGGCAAGGCCATCTTAACAGTAGCCATCTAAAGAAACTTTAATAAATGATCAGGGAGATCTCAGGACGGTAGATGCCCATGTACTCCTTATGTCATTATTAAGAGTAGCAAGTTGCATGTTTCTTGCACCTGAGAGTAAGTGCAACTGGATATCGACATGCCACATTATAATACACAAACATGTAAATTTGAGTCACATATGCATGAAATATAAGGTGTAGGTTTATCCCATTGATAATCAAATTATAGCTCCAAAATATTCAATGAAAGCGTTAGAAGATGATGATATAGCTTTTACCCGGAACAAAAATATAAATAAAATAAAATACCAATTCCTTGGAAGTAAAAAGGTAGGGATAATTGAAGAATATGAGAGCCTAGAACAAATGATAAGTGTTTTGTTCATATAGTCCAAATTAATAATACAAAACAAAAATGAATGTCAATCCTTTTAAAAGATAAAGCTGGATAATTAACTATGAAAGAGTCTAGAACAAAGGAGATATATCATATCATTGTTTTGAGGTTTGTGCATATTATAGTTGTGCTTAAGTTCAAGTATGAAATCTTCTGGATAGTACAAGCCACATAATTTGGTGTAATGAAGAGAATATTCAACAGCCAACATTACTCAGATTTGCCACTTCTCAACCATTGAATCAGTTTCATCCAACTACCAATAATTACATATAGTGATATAGATGCATAGAGGCATAATGGTTGTTGTGTCACATCACACCAAAGCTAACATAATAGTTCTCCAATTTAAAGGTGAGAAAAAATACCCCTATTTAAACATGAGAAGATAGATGGAACCTATTCAAAGAAGCCATTCTTTATACGCGAGCCAAACAAGGAGTAGAGGGTAGGACTCGCATAGATAATGTATACGCACTTACACTTTGTAGGAATTTCTTTTACACTGTCCAAGCCCATTGACATCCTAGGAGTTGGAAGCATCAGGATTGATTACTACATTGACTCAAGTTTGTACACAGAGAAGCATCACTAAGCTGGTCAGCTAAAGATGGACTCTTTGGCAACGATGTGATGCTCTTTGAAATACTTTGGAACGTGCTCCAGACGTTGAAGCTCTGCTGGTGGGAGAGGTGGCACCTGCTGTCATGAGCCCTCATGTGGTCACTGGCTAGACCCTCCTTGCCGTCGTGGCCTGGTCGAGTGCGGTGCCATCGGTCCTCCTTCTTGAGAATGGCACATCGTAAGCAATAAGAGGACACCATGTACAGTGTGGCGGTGTTTACGCATGGCGGAACCATTTTGTTGGTGGACGTATGGACAGACATAGGATGATGTTCCTCGCCCAAAAGAAAAAGACACGGGATGTGATATGCCTACTTATTGGAAAGGGGAATTAAGATTTTCATACTCTCATACCCAATCTGTTTGTATGGCAAGAATTTTCTTGTCAAATATTCGTTCGGCAAGGTTTCAACACATGATGGTTTTGAAGAATCCATCCAATCCATCGATCTTTCCAAGTATGAGTCGCACCGTCCCCTACCAGTTCCCACCCACGCAGTGAGGAACCAATCAAGGAACAAGGAGAAGCAATGGTTGAGCTGTTGTTCGTCCCTGCCGAGGCCGACCTTCGTCCACCTGTCGGAGGTGATCGACCACCTCGCAACGGGGGACGCCGACCACCGAGACCACGCCCGCCACCACGCGGCGCACGGGCAAGGGCACGGTTAAACGCACGTTGGAGTGGCGGTTGCGGCATACTCATGGATATTGTGGAGACCCCTGGCAAGTACGGTTTCCTTTTAGATATCCCCGGGCTCTCCAAGTATGACATCCAGCTACAAGAACGCACCACGCCATGGCCGCCCCCCATTTCTTCTCGGACCGAGCTCGATTCAACATCACCAATGAACTAAAATTCGGGCGTGTACCCATTTTCCTTGATGGGTGACTCTCTGGGCGACAACATGCTGGTGACGAAGAGCGCCAACGGAAGCGGAAGTGGGAGGAGAAGGAGGGTGAGTGCCGCTACATCCGGCTGGAGCGACGCGGCTCGCCACGGTCATTAATTTCCTCGCCCAAAAGAAAAAGACACGGGATGTGATATGCCTACTTATTGGAAGGGGAATTAAGATTTTCATGCTCTCATCCCCAATCTGTTTGTACGGCAAGAATTTTCTTGTCAAATATTCGTTCGACAAGGTTTCAACACATGATGGTTTTGAAAAATCCATCCAATCCATCGATCTTTCAAGTCTGAGTCGCATCGTCCCTTACCAGTTCCCACCCACGCAGCGAGGAACCAATCAAGGAACAAGAAGGAGAAGCAATGGTTGAGCTGCTATTTGCCCCTGCCGAGGCCGGCCTCGTCCACCTGTCGGAAGTGCTTGAGCGCCTCGCCGCGGCGGACGCCCACCACCGAGACCACGCCCGCCACCATGCTGCGCACGGTCAAGGGCACGATCACCCCCGGGCAAATTGGGGGCAGCGGCACGCCCGTGGACATCATGGAGACCCCCGGCGAGTACGTGCTCGACGTCCCCGGCCTCTCCAATTCCGACATCTAGGTACGTGCGTGCGCTGCTCGGCCCCGTTCCCCGCATTTCTTCTCTTGGACCGAACTCGGCCAGGGGTGGCGCGGGTGACTAACGTCTGTGCGCGCTCTGAATGGACAGGTGACTCTGGAGGAAGACAACGTGCTGGTGATGAAGAGCGCCAGCAACGGCGGCGCCAACGGGAAGCGGAAGCGGGAGGAGGAGGAGGGGGACTGCCGCTACATCCGGCTGGAGCGCCGCGCGTCGCCGCGGTCGTTCGTGCGCAAGTTCCGGCTGCCGAAGGACGCAGACGCGGGCGCCGTGGCCGCGCGCTGCGAGAACGGCGTGCTCACCGTCACCGTCAAGAAGCAGCAGCCGCCCGAGAAGAAGACCAAGTCCGTCCAGGTCGCCATCGCCTGATTGTTCGAGCCTTCCTTCAGTCGCGCGTACCTTCGGTATCTCGTCGGCGTTTGTCGTCAGTGATCGTTCTAGCAGTCGAGTAGTGTAGCGAGTCCGGTAGATTTGGGTGTTCTCTTCTGGTCTCGTGCTCTGTTCGTGATCTGGCCGGAGATAGTTGTGGTCATCTTTTGTGAATCTTGCTGTTAACGGAACTATGGAGCACGAATTGTTAGCTGTCGGATCAACCTCTGTATCTATTCTAACCCCGCTTGATCGAATGCAGCCGCGTGCCTGGATTCAGTACCGGGATTTCATACGTTTTTCACGTAATCTTAGGGGAAAATAGAGTGAGGACTCTGTTTCGTTCCCTTGAGCAATCGACGACGTCACGATCTGTCAACCCCTCTCTGTGAGTTCCACGATCTATTAAATTAACTCTGTTCTCAAGTGTCATGATCTAAATAAATCCAAAACGCAGTGAGTGAATCTTTAGTGTAGTAATTGAAACAAACTCAAAAGCAAATATGATTTATAAGGGAGCACAAGACGACATGGATACCCATGCCCTCCTTATATCGGATTACTTGCACGGAACAGCAAGATTGAATGCATAGAAGCATTGATGCTTCACACCAGACCCAAGTTAATAGCAGTTGCTTCACCACAGATCCGAGCTAATGTGATAGTACTTCTATTCAAGGTGAGAGAGTAGTGTGCTTCTATTTAACGTGAGAAGAAAGATAGAACATGGCCATTAGTCATTCTTCGAAACCCGAGCCGAGCTAGGGGTAGAGTAGAGCTTCACAGCCACCTGGAGTTGCTTTTGCAACGTTGTTCACATCCTAGGATTTGGAAGCATCAGGATCTATTGGTCAAGTATGTAGATCTGTATTAGTGACCAGACTAGCATACTCTCGCCGTATTCTAGTGCAGCATGACACTGCACACTCTCTGACCGTAACAAAACTAGCAGCATACTCTCGACGTATTTTAGTGGAATGTGACACTGCACACAGTAGTTTAGGCCCCTCCTCGAGGAACGAGGAGAGGTGGCCTCGTGCTCTCACAATCCTCTAGTTGCTGTTGACAGACATCTCCTTTGTTGTCGATGTGGGCGCGATGAAATTTGATATGCATTTCTTCTCAAGAACAACATGATGTTCAAAAGGTCCTAGCTCTATTCACAGGTGGTGAAGACGACGAGAGAATGTGAAGTGCTACATGCAAGTGTAGTGTGAGTGTAGTTAGGTTACGATCCTGCATCAATAAAAAAATCACCGGAGTGAATGTTGCAGAAGGCTTTGGAATAGGGATTAGATATAATTTGAAAATACAAACACAAGAACATTTATACTCGTATATTACATTTGATCATCTGAGGAAGCTCGATATGATTACCGAAAGCTCCCAAACAAAAAATGAATTTAGAAAATATTCACAGATTTGAAAAAAATGTTCACAATTTTGAAAAATATTTCAGAAAGTGTTCGCAAGTCCGCAAAATGTTCTTGAATTCAGAAAATGTTTGCAATTTCAAAAAATGTTCTCGAACTAAAAATCATGAATTCTAAAAATGATCATAAATTTCGAAAAATGTTCATGGCCATAAAAAAATGTTGGCGAATTCGAAAAGGTCCGTGAGTTCGTAACTTCTTCAATTATTTATAAATATCTTGAATTCAAAAATAGTTTTGAATTTTAAAAATGAATACAAATTTTGAAATCGTCACATATTTGAAAAAAACATCAATTTGAATTCCTTTGCTTTTAAAAAGTTCGTGAAACTCAAAATTGTTTGTGATTTTCAAAAAAATCATGAATTAGTTTTTGTCGTGTTTTGTGAATCTTGCTGTGAATGGAACGATGGAGCACGGATTGTTAGTTGTCGTATCTCTGCATGTATCTTCCAGTATATATTCAGAATCGTGCATTCTGCTCTGCTTGGTTCAGGATTCGTTGGTGTTCCATGTAATCTTGGCATGTTGTTTCGTTCACCTTTGAAGTGGGCACAATATATCAACTCTTATGTGTCTTATGGTATCTCCAATGGCGACCTATAAATTTTCTTTCGCATCCATACACGAATAGGGGGACCGGTCCACGAACACAGATATGGGAGGGATGCTGCCTGCATACATTTTACGAACAACCGGACGGAATTTGTTCAAAGTTGGCCGGATTTTCATAGAAATCAAATGAAGTTAATGCAAACATGACGGATTGTTATCAGATTTCAAACATTTAGAACAAAAAAAAACCCGTCCCGACCCGACCCTAAACCTACCCTACGGCGGCATCCGTCGTCCACCCCATTGCGTCTCCACCCCGTCTCCATGAGTACCGACGATAAGACCGATGAAGTGAAACTGCGGTCTCCGGCAAGGAAGAGTAGAACACGGGAGACGGACCGGCCCACATGGGACACAAGGCCCTGCCGCCTTCCGTGCCCTACTCATCCTTGGACAAGATGACGCTTTGTCCGTCGCCGGTGGACGTGAGGTCCACGATGGAATGGTGGCGCCCGCGCTATCGTCGTCCTACCAGGCCGCCTGATGGTTCGTCGGCGGCGTGTAAGAGGTGCAGCTGACGTTGTTCTAGTCCACGATCGCCTATAGCTACGCCTCCGCGGTGGGCGCTTCTTGGCGAGCGGCGGCTTGAGCGCAGACGGCCTCGTAGAGCGAATGCTGCTCCGCAATGAAGTTGGGGTTTGCCGTGGCCATGGCTGTCACGGCCTCCTCGCTCACGCGCTCGTCGTTGATCTGGCCCTCCGCCAGCCAGTGCTTCTCTAGGAGGAGAAGGTTGTACCTATGTCCCTCCTACGTCCGCTGGAATGCCGACATGGGCGCTGACATAGGCTGCTCCTCCGCCATGGCGGCGTTGTAGTGTGCGTGCGCCTGTTCCATGGTGAAGCCGACGTGCACAGGTGCGAGCTCTGGCACGGTGTCGTCGGAGCCCGTCTCCATGCAGGGTCATCCTCATAGTCGGAGACCTCGGGCGAGCTGGTCGGCAGGCCGGTCTCGATCCGCCTGGCACGGTGGCTCCCCCAGGCGGCCAGCTCGTGCTTCGTCTCCGTCGATAGGCTCTCCCATAGAGCGCTGCCACCTCCAGTCATGGCGGATGCGGTGGCAGGAAGGAGGTGTGGAGCGGCTGATGTTGTGGCGTGGAGTAGGCCGGGTGTGGCCGCCATTAAAGAACGCGTTCCGGTGAGGCCCGGCGTCCAGGTGCGTCAATGCGCGATATCAGAGTGGGTTTCTCGGCCGACGATCCTGCTTAATGGCGGCATACAGATGGATGGGGCATTGAACGGGCGTGGTAGATAGCCGTCCTGTCCCGTCTAGCAAACGTGTCTCCGACATTGAATAGGTGCGGCCATCGGGGACGCGTCGTTGGCGGCACCCTCGATCGGCGTGGCGCTTCAATGCCGACGCCAGTGAGCGACTTCAATGGGGAGCAGCCGCTCTTGTAAGTGCATCTAGTGCCCCTTAGTGATTTTGGTGTATTGAAGACTTATAGGTTAAGGATCTAATGTGTTTATGAGTATACATAGGTCTATAAGTCTATGAGGAGTTTGATATTTACAGAGAAAGTCGACCCCTAAAAAAGAAGTTCTTCAACTGAAGACTTTGATATTCTGAAGACTTTCTGAAGACTTTGAAAGTGAAGAAATTGGTGTGATCCTGAAGACTTGGTATTCTTTCGAGGAACATGAAGCGTGAAGACTTTTGTTTTTGTTGTTTCATTTTCTCTTTCTTGAGTCATAGGAAACACCGTACTGTTAAAGGGGGTCGAGGAAATACTAAGGAGAAAATTTCCATGTGATGCTCAACTCAAATCCTACACCTACCAATCCCTTCGAGTGAAGCCATTGGAAATCTCATACAGTTCAGTCCATTTCTTCAGTGACAGAGACGCAGTTCTTCTGGTCACTGAGGACTTTGTTCTGACTGAGGAGTTAGGAATTCGCCAGTGCGAATTGCCTACACTATGAGGAACATGATAGCCCTGAGGAATTTGCACCTCAAATTTCCGACCGTTGCTGTGCTACGCGCCAGCTGTCCCAAAATATCTTATCCACCTAACGGTCATATCATTGAAGGACATTTATGTCTTATCATGTCGGGCTGCTCCCTAGGCTATAAATAGCCGTCCCCTACAACCACTAGCTGGTTGGCTGCTCCGCGAGAAACCGACACTTGTCATTTGAGAGCATCCCATCCTCCGAGGACTTTGAGCGAAAATTATCAAGTGAGGAAAATCCAAACCCAAACCCAAAACACCTACAACCCAAAGTGATTGAGCATCACTGAAGAGATTGATCCTGCGTGGATCCGACGCTTGTTACCTTTGAAGACTGTGCTTCTTCCAGACGGTTAGGCATCAAGGTCTAGAGCATCCAAGAGGAATTGTGGATCGCCGAGTGACCGAGTTTGTCAAGGTTCGGAAGTCACCTGAAGACTTACCACGAGTGATTGGGCGAGGACTGTGTGTCCTTAGCTCAAGGAGAATACGGTGAGGACTGTGTGTCCAGGACTGGGTGTCCTCGAGTTTAAATACTCAGCCACTCCAACCAGATGTACAACTGAGACAGCAGTTGGAACTGGTCTACCAAATCATTGTCTTCACCAAGCCAACTGGTTCTATTTCCTCAACACTTTCATTTCCTCATTACTGTGTTGTGTGTTTATTCATATATGTGTTTGAAGACTTTGACTGAAGACTTTCTCAATTTTCTTAGTTCAATTTCTTCAGTCTGTTTGTTTTCATCTTGTGCTATCCTGTGTTTACGCTTCATGTACTCTGTGTTTGTCTTCATTTCATCATGATGACCATGCATGTATTCTGCTATGTTTACTTCTGAGTACTTATTCCGCTGCTAGTAGTTCTTCGCTAAGGAATTTCCTCACTAGCAAATTCCTCAGTGAAGAATTTCATAAAAATCGTCTATTCACCCCCCTCTAGTCGATATAACGCACTTTCAATTGGTATCAGAGCAAGGTACTCCCTTGTTCTGTGTGATTTTG